ATGCTGTGTCTTTTGCACGCAGTTTGATGAAGTATATATACACACAAGCAGCAAGCTGCTGCTGCTGCTGTTGCTGCTGCAAGGCCACTGGTTCGATACACTGCACCGCCACTTATCTCAGGTGTATGTACACCTCAGCCTGCTACATATTATTTTTTTTGTAGAAATTATATTTATTTATCATTTATATTCAGAAATATTACTTTTTTTTATATATTATGCAAAAGAAGAAGCAGCAGTGGAGCTGCACATACACCTGAAACAGCGAGCCGCTCAGCAGCAGCAGCAGCAGCACCTGTCGATTGCTCTCTCTGCTTCTCAGGGGCTGTGTTTTTTATATTTATTTTTATTTATATTTTTATTATTTTTATTTTATTTTATTTTTATTTTTATTTATTTATTCCTTCTATTCATCTAGACATTGTAAGCACTGTACAGACACCCCAATAAAGCCGCACAAACCACCGCCGGCGACTGCTGCTGCAAACCACAAACCCTAAACCCTAAACCCTAAACCCTAAACCCTAAACCCTAAACCCTAAACCCTAGACCCTAAACCCTAAACCCTAAACCTGAACTTTGGGGTCTAAATTGTTAACATTGCATACCACAATACTAACTCGGAGCCTCGATAGAGAGAGGGGAGCTTGCTGTGAGAGTTTAGGGTTTAGGGTTTACGTATACCTAAACCCTAAACCCTAAAACACTAAACCCTAAACCCTAGAACGCTAAACCCTAAACTCTGAACCCTAAACCCTAATCAGTAAATCCTAGGCCTCAAACCCTCCACTCTAAACCCTAAACCCTAGACACCACCGTCAGCCCCTCGCCATACAACTAAACCCTAAACCCTAAACCCTAAACCCTAAACGCCAAACACCGAGCCCCAAGTCCTAGAACTAGACGAGCTAAACCCTAAACCCTAAACCCTAAACCCTCGATACGATAGTGAAGGAGCAAGCATCGTAAGGTGGAGTCCTGCCTACGCCGTAAACCCTAAACCCTAAACCCTAAACCCTAGCCTTAACCCTAAACCCTAAACCCTAAACCCTAAATCCTAAACCCTAAACCCTACGCTATGTAAAGGGAATCAATCGAACGTCTGCAGCATTCATCTGAAACCCTAAACCCTAAACCCTAAACCCTAGATCTCAATCCCGAACCACCATGCTATAAACCCTAAACCCTAAACCCTAAACCCTAAACCCTCAACAGTAGCTTCTATAATACTTAACCTTGTTACGAATCAATCACGCTGCACACGGCGCTACTGCTGCTGCTGCAGGAGCAGCAGCTGCAGCAGCAGGTGCAACAGCAGCAGCTGCTGCAGC